ACATATACATACCCACTCACACAAGCATACACACACACATACATATACATACCCACTCACACAAGCATACACACACACATACACAATCACACACACATACATATACATACCCACTCACACAAGCATACACACACACACACATACCCACTCACACAAGCATACACACACACACATACATATAAATACCCACTCACACAAGCATACACACACACATACACAATCACACACACATACATATACATACCCACTCACACAAGCATACACACACACACACACACATACCCACTCACACACACATAGGGTCACCCACCAGGCCCACACTACAGTCACTGCAGTCTACAGAGTGGCCACATATTCTGTCCCAGGCTCTAGGCCCGGGGACTCTCTGAAGGAGGCGGTGAAGGCAGAGCCATGGAGGTCTGAGGGCCCAGCATCCAGCTCCGCTGTGAGATGGGCAAAGGTTGTGGCCCGTTTTACAACTAAGGAACGTGGAGCTTCGAGAGCTCACTGTGAGTCTGGTCTAGTTCCCAGTCTGAGTCCTGTCTGTGAAATGGGAACAATGGCATCGCCAACCACAGCATGGGGAGATCACACAGCACCTCAGGGCCAGACACCAGGTCTCTTTTTTCCTCCAGACTAAGTCCCCTTCTGGTTAACCACTGGACCCTCCCTTCTGCTGGCAAATCCACAAGAGGGGCTTCTAGTCATCTGTCCACTTAAGGCCCCTGGTGAGCCATCTCTTGGCTCTCAGGTGACCTAAGACACATTTCAGGACAAGCCCGAAGTCTGAGGATGACACACATACTCTGAGGCTACACAGAAGGGTGGGGGGCTCAGGGCCCATTGGAGCCATGGGCCCACTTAGGGCCACCAAAGGCCACAGAGACAAGGGGTGGAATGCCAGGAGAGGGAAGAGTTGTGGGTGTGGCCACAAGGGTGTCACAGTGCAGGTAAGGATGGAAGAGCCATTGTCACCAGGACTGCGGGACCCGGAGGAGCGAGGGTCTCAGGAGCCACCACTCTCGGGCACTCTAAAGGACAGCATGCTCTGGACTGCGAGTAGCAGACGGGGTCAGAGAGACGCAGAGCCCAGCCTGACCGAGGCACCCATGGCCGAGGCCCATAAGACTCCAGCTAGCCCCTGGACAGAGCTCTCTGCTCGAGGTCTCAGAAGGGGAAATGAGAGTAGAGTTCTCTGCAGCCTCCAGACCCCAGCAGCAGCCCCCTGAGCCCCCCCTTTGGGCCCCCAGTCACACAGCCAGCAGCAGTGGGACTCGGTGATCCCAAGTGCGCAACCTTCCGGTCCGATGGCCAGGCTTTATAACTGGACCCTCAGCTCCAGTGTTCCATAGCTGAGTGGCCCAAGCCTGGTGACTCAACTTCTCTGAGCCTGTCTGCGAAGTGGGGTGAACACGACCTACCCGGAGGGAGAAGACATACAAAGTGCTTAGCAGAGTGCCAGGTGCAACGTTCCCAAACCAAGCCAAAGCCACGGCCAACGAGCCCCTTCCAACTTAGAGCGACCCTCCACAGCTGGGGGCTGGCGGGTGGGGAGGAGGACAGACACAG